AGTTGAATATTAGAAATGTGTACGTATACTAATTAACATGTACGTAATTGAAAAAGCATCGATCATTTTGGAGAGAATGGTGATATTCAACAATTTGTAGTCATAATCAGGAGGTAAAACATGATTTTTAGAAGAATGTACGTACATTACTAATTATGTACACAAGGAAGTATCTGACGATGAATGTTTGATATACACAAATGCAAATTGGCATGGTACATGTCGCCAATAATAGTTTATTATTGTATCAATACATTTATCTTAACAAATTTAACTCACCAACAAAGATGTACGTACATTACTATACGTATACGTACATAATATTTTCAGAAATATGAGGAACAAATATTCTTTGACCATATATTTTTACTTAATTATTATATATGCATGAATTTTATTGAGATAGACGAAAGTAACAAAATAGCTTAATTTTGGAGTCAAAAGAGGGTGGTTAGATATATAATTATTACAACCACTTTAATATTGTATCATATACGTTCTACTAAATATGTTCGTGTACGTACACCGTAAATTATATATACGTACACAGAAGAAATTCGATGAAGGGTAAAACTGTAATTTTCCTGTCGTCTTCAACCTAAGTATTCTCTTCTACAACCCTAATTTTGCGGCCGTCTTTAGCAGTTATCTCATAATCTTGTTTTCCTTAAGTTTTGAATGTTTTCTACATATGAATCTAGTAAACGTTCGCATATTTTAAATTTGAAAAACTAAAGTGTTTGAATCTCAAGAAATTTCTTGTATTTTGTTCATCGCCGGAAATATGAAATTTGTTTCTACTTACTCGACTCAAAAACTCTCAATCGAAGATGAATGCGAGATTGTTCAGATTTTAAGAAAACTATTATCACAAAGATTTTTGAAGTTGAAAAATTGATTTTCGATTTGTTTTTCTGCTTCTTCTTCTGTTTTTTTCATTTATTTTTACACATAATAAGATAAAAATAGGAGAAGTCCAAACATAACTGAACGAGAACTGTTTATGGTTTGGGGGTATTTTGGTCAGAAAAAACCTAAATTGCTAAATGGTGAGAACCAATTCTCACTTTGCCAAACGGTGAGAGAGAAACTCAATTTCTTACTAAACGTGAAAATAACTTAATTTTAAATGAGATATTGTCATATTGATGTGTACATTGACGTACGGCAACTTAATTTAACGAGTAAAGAAAAAGCAAATCGTGAAAAGTAGTTTTTCTTGTTTAATTGGGCATAGAACTCTTTTCTTGAGTTAGAAAAAAAAACAATTTTTCCTTTGTCAAAGTTATTTGGTTTAATTTCCTCGCTATAGTGGTCTTATTTTGGCAAATCTTTGTTGCTGCTATTTTGTTCTTCAAGTTCGGGATTTCTCATTTTCCTTATAGATAAAGTTTTGGTTGTTCAAGATGTCTAATGCTATGGATAAAGGTTTTATGGCTATGTCGCTAGAGAAGGAAGTTAAACCTTTCAATATATCAGATCTACTTCAGTACTGCTCAGTCTGCTCTAGTGAGAAAAATGTTTTGAGTTTGATAAGAAGAATTTGTAATCCGGACTGCCAAAAGATGACAAAGTTAATCCTAAGATAATCCAAGAAATTGGCAAAAGTATGAAATGGTCATAGGGTGGCTTTTTCCGATGGAGAATGTTAGATGCGTAACTACCAATTTACTAAAAAAACTTGATTTTTTAGAATTCTTATTATTTACTATTTCAAATTTTAATGTATGTTCATAATTAAAGTTATCATTATATCAAAACTTTGTGTCTTCTATAAGTTATTGGAAGACTTTCTATTCTAACTTTTGTTGGAACTTTGAACACATCTATTAGTCTGACACGTTCTTGCTTCTGGAGTTAAGGAGTGGATTCGATTCGATCCGTTGAGAGAGACTTCCTATACATTGGACCAATTGTTTATAAAAACTTTCGACGTTTGCCAAAATAAAATTTTGGACAAGTTCTATAATGTAGTATACTTAGATTCTAAAATAAAATTTTATTTGAATGTGAATTGAAAATCCAAAGTTGGTTTTCAAAACAAAACGAAGAAGGAGACTCTTGCTCTCATTTGAACCAAAAGTTCATTAGAAAAATTATGAATCCACTCCATATATTTCTTTTATTTTAAAGTCATCTGATATATTTTAAAACACGACATACAAATAACTTTCGAGCAACCTTAACGAATATATTTTGGTTGGGGCTTGAAAACAACTATTTCTAACTCTCAGATATGTGGCTTTGATTGAGGTCTGATATTCGAAGAAGAAATTAAGGCTGAGATCTGAAAAAAAAAAAAAAAAAAAAAAAAAACCCTGGATGAGATTTGAAGAAGAAGAGATAGAAGGCTGCGGGAAGTTTGACAGTGGAACAAAAGTAAGAAATAAAATAATGTCGAGTTTTCCCTTTCTTTCAAAAAAAAAAAAACAGATAAATCAAATTGTTTAAGAAAATTTCAATAAATTTGCATGATATTTTTTAAAACTGAAGGTATAATAAGATTTAGATTAAATCATATGTTACCATCTGAAATGCATATATGGACAATTTTTTAAAAAACCTCCTTTGTTTTTCAATTTTTCCAAAGATAATTTAGGGCCTGAGTGGTTTAAAAGCATCGAGTTGTGAAAGTTTGTGGAAGCGGAAGGTGCGTTAAAGCGTTATTAAGCATTTATGACTGGTTAACCAGCGGGTGCGACAATGGTTAAATCAAAAATGACCAAAATAAATATAATCTATAATTATAAAAAGTACAAAAACACCAAATATTTATATTATTATGATCAAATAAAATTTTAATATAATTAATAATAAAAATCATATATAAAATTCTAAATTATTATTCAAAAACATATATAAGGTTTTATTGTTAATATTATAAATACACAAAATATGTTTTGAATTCGTAGATCTTCCGGATTAATAATATTATTACAATAATTACGTTTGTATCTTGTCATTCTTCATTAGGGTTTTGAAAATTAACGTTAATATATATAGGACTTGATAATTTTTAATTTTATTTATTATTTAAATTTAGAGATAATTGGGTGAGAGATGCTACTTTTTGGGTTATTTAAATTTTCGGTATTAGGCCTTATGGCCCAAGACAATGATAATAATTAGCCATCTTTTTTCCTGATTTTAGCCCCATGCACCTCTCTCATTCTCATGTTCATCTCTCTCTCAATTCTGTTTTAATTTATTCAAACTGATAAGAAAAACAGCGTTGTGTTTATTATTCACACCGCCATTATTTATTCATCGGAAAAGATACCTTTCACGATACAAGTAAGAATCTAAAACATTTTTTGGATCTTCACAAATAGATCTACAAAGCATATATGCATATCTTATGTTCATCTCTCTCTCAACTCTGTTCTAATTCATTCAAACCGATAAGAAAAACAGCGTCGTGTTTATTATTCACACCGTCATTGTTTATTCATCGGAAAATATAACTTTCACGATACAAATAAGGATCTAAAATATTTTTTGGCTCGTCACAAATAGATCTACAAAGTATAGATGTAGTTATAAGGATATATGTGGAGATGTGTCAAGATTTAGATAAATAAAATATAATACCAAAACAAGAAATTTTAGAGTAAAAAGGAAGAAGACGATGGAGCATAGGCTATGCATGAAATCAATCGAAGCATGCTTTTTTCCTGGGGAAAAAATCGAATTTCATCAAAAATTCTCAATTAGTTAATGAATTAATATTTATCTATAAATTTAGATACATGTTCATATACTTTTTTTTTTTTGACGTCTAGATTTATTATTTATTGCAAATTATGAGAACTGTTACATAGACGATTCTACAACGGACAATTCCTTCCGACCCTTATTAGATCCACGACAGACGACACTTCCTTCTCCATGCTCTTGACGGACACCTTCAATGATCCACGACCTGACGACACTTCTCTCTCTGCGTAGAATCCTGGCGAACGGCTATAACATGTTCATATACTTTCATAGAGTCATATGTCGAACTATAAATGCTACATTTATTAATAGATATCTACGCGATTATGTTAGTAGTTTATATTTTCTAATTTTCGTCCATATGTTTTTGTTATAGATTCAAATTAAAATTTAATAACTGTCACTTCGTTCTATTTGTTGCTGTGTGAAAGTCAATTCAACTGCTGAGCATTTAAGTTGTGTCAGAATGTTCCATCGTTTATTCGTAAAGCCAGATTCTCTCCCCCACGCGCACGACATAAGCAAAGGTTGGTATTCTCGTAAATATTGTCAACTTCAAGCCCCATTGCAACTGTTTTTTTAACGTCGTCTCTGACCCTGCTTACTAATGTTGTTTTCTTAAATATTTTTCTCAATAACGTCTCTGAGCAAATTTACTCATAAATTTAATGCAAACATTTGCGGAAAAGAGCTCTTGAATTCAGCGATTTCGAAGAGTCCGGAACGGTTTAATTCTATGATTAGTTTTAAACATTAGCAACCACAACCGCCTGCAAACATGGCGTTTACAGAATACATTTACAGATGGTAGCGGGCAGTCAAACCTTTACATGCATGTAGGGTTTTGCATCTAAAAACTTTCCTTCGTTTCACAATGTACCATGTACGGGTCTTCGACTATATTTTTTTTCCTCTTTCGTCGACCATTAGCGTCTCCACTTTACCTCTTTACATGGGCCAACCTGACCCATATTAACTTACATGCATCCAATCGGGCTTTCATAATGTATTAAGCCCAATTATTCTGACTCGTGAATTCTTACAATCGACCCAATCATTGATCTCAACTAGATTACTTCTTCAATTAGCACCACCAAGCCTCGTGCATTTGTACTAAATTATCCTACATGTAATAATAAATAATAAAATCAAAAGATATGCTTCAACAAGAACTAAAAAAAATAGGATATTCGAAAAACAAAACCACGAATATTCGTCATTTAATATAATAATAATAAACACTAAATAAATCCAGCCACCATCAAAACCTCTCAACCAATTTTTCACTTTTGATTGTTCCTTATTCTCAGCTACCATGAAATTCGGCAAGAGCCTAAGCAACCAGATCGAAGAAACTTTACCTGAATGGCGCGACAAATTCCTCTCCTACAAAGAACTCAAGAAGAAACTCAAACTTATGGAGCCACGAACCGTCGAGAATCGTCCAACCAAACGTTCGAGATCCGATTCCAATTCTGTCGACGCAGATCCAACCGCTGGTATGACCAAGGAAGAGCTCGATTTCATTAGTCTTCTTGAAGACGAGCTTGAGAAATTCAATTCCTTCTTCGTTGAACAAGAGGAAGAGTATATCATTAGATTAAAGGTATCCTCATAATCTTCTAATCAAAAATTTTATGTGGAACGATACAAAATGTTAGGTTTCGAATGATTTTGTTATCAAGTTTATTTATTATTGATTGTTGGTTACAATTCATAGGCTCAATTTTTTTTTTTTTTGGGATTCTAAGATTTTCCATAAGTAGATGTTGTTGGAATTACAGTTTTGTCGAATTGCTCCGGCTAACTGACCGGATCTTGGAGTCATTGGATTCTTTGTAATGAACAATCCGGATTTTCGCGTCCTACCATATGTTATAAGCCGCCATTTAGGTCCCTGTTACTAATGGGCTAGAATTATTGTGTGGAGCATTTTTTTGTTAAAGTATATTCAACTGTTTTTCTTTTGGGGACTGGTATGGTAGGAATTGAAGGATCAAGTGGCAAAGGCGACGAATTCTAATGAAGAGATGATAAATATAAAGAAAGAGATTGTTGATTTTCATGGAGAAATGGTCTTGTTGATGAATTATAGTGCTCTTAACTATACAGGTAAACTTTTCTTTCTCATTTCCTCTCCATGGTCTTTGTTTTGGCTATTTCCTCATACGTTATAGAAACCCGACATTGAGTAAACAGAACAAGCTCACAGGTTTAAAAATCGTTTACAAGGTCAAGCTCAGTGTTAAGGACTCCTTGTAAGGGAAACCGGGTCAATGAGCAATATTTTTTATGGGTTTTGTAAGAAATTACTAGGAACTTGAATTAGTGGTAACATTACGTCTATGTTAAGAGACATATTCTCCACGATCTGTGACTACTTGTTTATTAAAAATGTGCTCACATGAAGGAATATACTCTAATTTATTTAATTGGCCACTCATAGAAGATGCTTTCCTTGTACTTTTTCTTAAGAATAACTTGAGGTTTATGCCTTTATTCTTATTCGCTAAATGTGTAGAATTGTGTTCTATTGGTTTGCTTGCAGGATTGGCAAAGATTCTCAAAAAGTATGACAAAAGAACCGGTGCTTTAATCCGTTTACCATTTATCCAAAAGGTTCTACAAGAACCTTTCTTCACTACCGACCTACTCAACACATTTGTGAAAGAGTGCGAGGCTATGCTCGACCATCTCTTCCCGTCTAACAAAAGTCGGAATCTGGATGAAGAAGAGGGAGAACCGACAACTTCTGGAACGGTCAAGACAGCAACAGACGACTCTGATCTTCTTAGAGTACCAAAAGAACTGTCTGAGATCGAGTATATGGAGAGCTTGTATATGAAGAGCACTGTTTCGGCATTAAAGGTATTAAAGGAAATCCGCAGTGGTAGCTCAACAGTAAGCGTCTTCTCGTTGCCACCATTACCGGCAAGTGGATTAGAAGATGATTCATGGAAGAAGAAGGTTGGTGTCCTCGAACAAGTAGCGAAATGAATTATGACTATTGTTTTTATTTTTTTCTTTCTTTAAATAGTTATGTACAAGTAATTGTATACGCTTACAGTTGTAAAAGATGAATCAAACCATAGAAGTGTGATCATCTTTCCTCAATGTAAACTTGGTTGCGTGTACCTTTTCTTTTGCTGCATATCATGAATGAAAAATCTTCTGTAAGACTGCAAATACAAACGCCATTTTGGAGTCATATATATTGCATTTTAGAATCTGCGGGTCAATCCGTCACTGCGCTCCTAACTAAGTGAGATTGAGTCCAGTGTAAGGGTAGATTAGATCATTCAATCACAAGGAATCAGATATGTAGCTGAGGAAATTTGTTTTGCTCTTATGTTCTGTGAATGTTGCAAGATTGATAGCAGTTTAAGCGTTGCAGGATTGCAGTCTGCTTCTTGTTACGGCCCTGTGAGATGGGTCTTTGTAATGTGGGCCATTTTATGTGGGCTTAGATAAGGCTTCGACCAATCTTAGACTACGCTTTGTGTTCTTAAGTGCGGGCACTACAAAGTAAGGGCCAGACTGGTTTAAACGCAGCGGGAGCGGTTGCGTCTGCGGGAGTTTGCGGAAGCGGGCGGTTACGGTTTCAAGCGTTATGATGCATTTTGAACGACTGGTTAAGCGGTTAAAAATTGGTGCGTTTACAGGAGTTGTATGACTGGTTAACTAGCGGATGCGACAACGGTTAAATCGAAAATGATCAAAAGAAATATAATTTATAATTATATAATAAAGTATAAAAACACCAAATATTTATATTATTATGATAAAATACAAAACAATTTATATATAATTAACAATAATAAAATATATAAAATTACTACATAATTATTCAAAATAATATATTTCATAGTTAAGTGCTTATTACTTCATGCATTTGGTTCATAAAAAAACAGCATCAAGTAATATAACAAATTACAAAAATAATAATATGACAAACTAAAAAATAGATGTTTTGAATTCTTAGATCCTCTGGATTAATAATTTTATTACAATACTTAGTTTGTATTTTGTCATTCTTGAGTTTAGATTGACGCCATATACGCCACTTATTGATCAAAAGTCCTAGGGTTGGGCAAAAAGGTGAACCCGAAATCCGAATATATATATATAATAGGAGAATTGTCTCTTCATTTACGGTGTCCACATCATCATCCAAGTCATCCTATTTTAATTTTATGTGAACTCCACATATTTTATTTATTAAAACAAAAAACATTAAAACTATAATTAATTCACACATTTTGTAATTTTATATATTTCATTAAACAAAAAGAATAATTTACAAAATAATAATTTAAATATTAAAAAAACGAAAAAAATAAGACTTAAAAAATATACTAAATTTAAAGGTTTTTACTGAAAAAAGTAATTCATTTCTGAAAAATACACATTTAAAATTAAAAATATTTAAAATATATTTTGAATGTTTAAGTATCAATTCATGATACTGATTAAAAATAAGAAGGATTGAGTACATATTATTTTATTTTATTTTTGTCATCGGGTACATATTATTATTTATAATTATAATATAGTATAATAGTTACATTAATAAAATTTTCTGTATTATCAGTGTTTACTAAATTAAAAAGTGGTAAGTATTTTTAAAAATCAAATGAATACCTAAAAAAAAAATATTAATTGGTGTTTATGAAATTTTAACATAGATCAAAAAATTTAAGGTGATTTGAAATAAAACAAAAAGTATCCTAAACATAACAAATAAAAATAAAATAATCCAATCGAATAAAAAACTGTGTAATAATAATATTTGCGAATGCTATTTGGAATGTGAATAGTAATGGTATATTGAAGAGTTTCTAATTAGAAGTAAAAATTAAGGATTAAAAAAATATATTTTAAAATTAGAATGATTTCTATGATTTCGTAAGTTACGAATTTTACGAAAATCAACATTAAGAATACTATATAGAATCATAATATACGTCAAATTATATATCTGTGAATTTGTTTTTTGTATTTTTCAAACGATCAAGATAAAATGCAAAGTTTGATGTTGAAATCCGATGTTTGTGAATAGGAATGAGTCCATATATGAGATTTGTTGCCTATAAAGAAATTTTACATGCACCAAACATGGTCAAAGAAACTTTATGACAAATATCTCCCAAGATTTTCTAATGTTTACTTTAATAAAAAGATCATGCAATTTATAAAAAAAAAATTGAGTATTGAAAGATATGAATGAGAAAATATATACGATCTATCTTGAGAACTAATTCATAGTCGAATATATTATATGTGAGTCAATATAAGGTGAAAAATAGTAGATGTCGATCCGATCCAAATTAATAAAAAAACGAGTGAATCATAGAAGATAACAAGAAAAATTGTAGTGAAAAGTGTGAAAAAATATTCACTACTATGGAAAGATAATGAAAACGAGTAAAGTAAAATCTTTTAAAATTTAAATAATTCAAAGATTCGCATTGAAAAAAAAAAATTTAAATTAAAACCCCGCGCGTTACATAATCTAGTTTCTAATAGTGGTAACTTTTCACTATCATTATTTTTACTAATGGTGATACTGTATATAAGAAAATTTTCAGTTTACAATTTTCATTATTAAAAAATTTTAAATAGGAATAATTTTTTTAAAAAATATCAAAATCTTATGAGATCTAAGTTTGTCATGTATTGAAACACATCCAACTTTATATAATGAAATATTCAAAATTTAAATGGTTGTAATGGAGAGAAACAAACTAATATGTTTGTGGATTAAAGGCTTTTATTTTTGAAATAGACAATTATTTACTGTCAATCAAATTTTTCTTCATCTAAATGAAATTGGAACACTGATATGGTATCAAGTAGCACACATACGCGACCGTCTTCTCTCTCTATGCCAAAATGCCTTAACACATCGTCCAATTTAAGCTCTTGACCAGCGCAAGGCGATTCCCATAGTACCAACGTCGATCACATCTTACTTGTTTTCTACTGATTTTTTCGTCGAATTCATGACGATCGTTTTTAAGTTGGAATGTTTGAATTAGAATGACAAATCTAAAGATGTTGGTTTGGTAAAAATTAACGGTTTTGCGATCCCTTCGATCCTGAATCCGTCCTACCCGTAAATCTTTTTTTTTGGTCTTGGTTGCTTTATCGGTTTTGTGTATTTTAAAATTTGAATGATCAATAAAAAAAATTTAAGAAAAAAAAGAACAATTTATTTTTTATTAGTATAATAATATTTTTCAAGATCACCAATTTTATTATTTATAAATAAAATTAATTCCTTTTAGAAAATATTTAATTCACTTATATACCTTTTCTTAAACAAATATACTAGAACAGACTAGAAGTTATTACTTTTTTGACCCATACTATTATTTTATTGAATCGGCTCTAAATTTCCTCGACTCTCGACCCATATAGAGATTTATAGCAGACATTGTGACATGTATGCAATCAGACACATTGTCGATAATACATCGACCCGAAATAAAAAAAAGCTCCTTGTCCAAAGCCTTTTATATTCACCTCTCATCGTTATCTTCATTTAGAAACACTAAACAATGTTTACTGTTTTATTAATATTTGCCCTATTTAAAAATTCAATTGGAATTTGTGTATCCCTCTTCTCTATTCCTTCAAGGCAACTAAAACTACATTGCGTGACTTCTCTTCTGAAACCATTTTCTTAATACTTTCTCCGATCAAACTATGGCTTATTTAGCTCCGATTTCGTCATCCTTATCCATCTTCAAAAATCCCCAACTCTCAAGATTCCAATTTGCTTCTTCCCGACCAAACCCACTTTTCCTTGGACCTAGGATTCAGATTCTGAGTATGCCCATGAACAAGTCGCCGTCTTTAGTGGTGGTTGCGGCTACTACTGCGGCGGAGAAGCAGAAGAAGAGGTATCCAGGAGAATCAAAGGGTTTTGTGGAGGAGATGAGGTTTGTGGCTATGAGACTTCATACTAAAGATCAAGCTAAGGAAGGTGAGAAAGAGACTAAATCTATTGAGGAACGTCCTGTGGCTAAATGGGAACCGACTGTTGATGGTTACTTGAGGTTTCTTGTGGACAGTAAATTGGTTTATGATACTCTTGAACAGATTATTCAAGATTCCAATTTCCCAACTTGTGAGTTTTTCTTCCTTCTTTTCTTCTTGATTTGGTAATCTTTAGAACTGATGGTGGAGGAAAAAGTGGAAGTGATTTGGAGTGTTTTAGGTTTTAGTATCTACCCATTTGATAAAGATGACTCCTTTGCCTCATTTCTTATCTTGTTTTGGATTTGAATCATTCAGATTAGAGGTTTACTGTTGGATTGAGTTGGTTATAGTGATGGTTTGATAAGAATTGAAGTACTCTTAGGATGGTAGTTTATTGAGGAGTTGATGGTGATTTCAGAACTGATTTTTGAAGGAAAAGTTGAAGTGATGTGGAGTGTTTAAATAAAGATCATTCCTTTGCCTCATTTCGTTTGGATTTTGTGGCAACTTAGTCTTTTTACTCTTGGATTGAGTTGGTTATAGTGGAGGTTATGTATGAATGATGTATATTTTGAGATCTCTTCAATGGTGGATTTAAGGTTGAATATATGTACAACTTGTGAATCTATTGAATGTTTTGGAGTTTTGGACTTCCAATCATAGTGTTTCTCTCTTATTCTTGTGTCATAGAAAACGTTACGTAGAATAAGAGTCTTCAAACAATCTATATGAGGGATTACAGTAATTAAAACTGTGTTTGCTTATGTATTGGAAAAAGATACCGGTTTTTGAAAGATCTTTATGCAAAAGTATGTCTTTATTTCTTGCGTAACCTTCTCAAGATCTATTTCTGCATACTGTGTTTTCTGTAGATTCCGAATTCAAGAACACGGGGCTGGAAAGGGCAGAGAAATTGGCCAAGGATTTGGAGTGGTTTAAGGAACAAGGTTACGAGATTCCAGAACCAACTGCTCCTGGTAAAACATATTCACAGTATTTAAAGGAATTAGCAGAGAAGGATCCTCAAGCATTCATTTGTCACTTCTACAACATCTATTTCGCCCATAGCGCTGGTGGACGAATGATTGGCAGAAAGGTAAAAACTTTGGCATTAAAAATGGCTTGGAAAATTAGCGAAGACTTCTTCTGAAGCTTACCAAATGTTGCAGGTAGCAGAGAGAATACTAGACAATAAAGAACTCGAGTTCTACAAATGGGACGGCGAACTTTCCCAATTGTTGCAGAACGTTAGGGAGAAACTGAACAAAGTTGCTGAGGAGTGGACGAGAGAAGAAAAGAATCATTGTTTGGAAGAGACGGAGAAATCGTTCAAGTATTCTGGTGAGATACTTCGTCTGATATTGTCCTGATTTGAATCGCAGTGTCTCTAGATATCTCAATACGGCTTGTGGCGGCTAAAATTCTGCACATTGTTTATATTCCTGTATTATATTCATCATCTTCTACTTCTTGTTAAACTTTTCTTTGCTTCAAAGCTATTACTAAGTTCATGGTTCAAATTAATAATTTTTCCGCCATTTATGGCTCAAATATAAGTTCAATGATAAGTGTACATCTGATATAGCCAGAGGACTGAACTCTTCTGTGTAAAATTGTAAGTTTTAGTGTACATCTGATTCTATTGGATGGTTGGTTTAGTTAAGAAACCAACCATCCAATGAAGCTGAGTCTGAAATCGTCGATGATGTCTTCTTCTCCGTTGCAAGTTCTGCCATTTCAAAATCTCAAAGACAAAATTAAACTTCTAGGGTTTATGTAACACGAACACAAAAGATGTCGTCGTCCTCTGCTCCCAAGTGTGGGAGAGCTTCTGGCTGATATGGAAGGTCTTACACTCAAGCTTCGTCTAAATCAAGGGTATAACTCAGTTTTGATCGTCTGATGCTGTAAAGTAAACTAGTAAGTAATGTATAGTATTAGAACTACCTGAACTGTTGACATCAGAGATCGCAAAACCAACAGATGTCTTAGTATCCAAGGTAAAGATTTTACAGCTTAGCGCTCTCAACCCGGAGAGTCACCACTGGAGATGTGCTGAGGATCGCCACGGGTCATCTTCCTCACGTCCTGTATGCACACCATATTTGTAGGAGTAAGTTACATTGGCTGGCCCATGGGTGAAAACAATTGAGTTCCCACTTAAACCACAACCATCAGGAAGCTCCTTAGCCGAGCAGCAGACATTTCCCAAATCTCCAATGACCAACAAACGGTCACCTATTTCGCTGACCTCGACCCATTTACCAGCCTCCTCATCTAACCCAGTTACCAGCCTCCTCATCTAACCTACTAACTCTTAAAGTTAACCGACTAAAGTATAATACACCAGTACGAGGGATGATTTTCTCAACCAGGAAAAGTTCATCATTGCCAGATGGAACCAGATCATTTACTGAACCAGAGTTCAGAAGCTCCGAGGGTATCAGGGGAGTCACTTCCAGCGAATAAGGATCGATAGCGAAAATGCCATGGTTAAAAAAGGCTGCATAAAATCTGCCTCTAAAAGTGATTAAATCCGAGCATGAAGCATATGAGGTTTCTCAAGCAGCATCCATCTCATCTCATCCGTATTAAAAACGCGCGGATCCTTAAAACAAATTCCAGTCGGGTCAATCTCAACCATGACAGAGATAGACGAAGATCGGGTCAGTAAGAAGAGAGTGGTGCTTGGTGAGCTTCTAAGTGTCTCTAATGTCAATGTCTTGGCTAATCGCAATCAGAAAAGAGAAACCTAGAAACCAAAAAAAGAGTCTTAGAGCTATTCATGTGAGCTTCTCTCGTATTTAGTGCTCTCTTTACAATCGGTTTTTGATGGTAAAGAAGAATCTTTTTTTGAGCATTCATGTGAGCTTCTTTCGTCTTTAGTGCTCTCTTCATCAATGGCGACAACGGTTTCAATGGGACTGGCTACAGTTAGCCTTTGCCTCCTGTGGAACTAAAGCAAAGCTCAGAAGGAGCAAACTGAGAAACAGGCACAAAACATAAAGCATATTTGAATGTTCAAGTGCTCCACATGGGAAAGTTACGACATTTGTTAACTAGTATTTAAGGTTTATGGATCTCTCTACTCATTGTCAATCATTCAACTCCAATGGTCTCATTGCTCCAAATCCAAATGACAAACACAAATAAAACTTTTGACAGGAGATAACTTTTGGGAGGCAAAACGCAATCTATCCCCAGCCGATCAACCGATGACTTCACACAGAAAATATACACACAACAAATAATGACATCAGGTACCCTTTCATTTGTTTTCTGATTTCACCTTGGAACAAAACTTAAGAACAGAGCTTCTGTCTGCTTCCCAAAGAAACTCCAGGATGATCGACTCTCCTATCTTCACACCGTTAGCGTAGCAGAACTCTTTCCAACCTCCTGACAATCTCATTCTTTTACATTTCTCCTCAAACCACAGATTGGTAGACCACTTCACCCCATGTTTATCCAAAAAACTCATCTTCTTTGCCTTTATGATACCATTCACCTTTGTGAAAGGCACTGGAAGAATCTGAGAAAGATTTAAACGAAGGAGACGAGGATGAAGAATCGATAAGACCTGTATAAAGAAAATTAATGGCTGTTTGGTGATGAAACTAACCAGTTTAGATTGTCCTACGTTGTAAGGTGTAAGAGTTACTGTCACAAACCGGTTTTGAGATGGTAAAGAAGAAGCTTTCCATATCAAGATTCTTTTTTTTGTGCATTCACGTGAGCTTCTCTTGTCTTGGTTGTTGTCTATTGCATTAGCTTCTTCTTCTAGCTCTCTGTGGGCTAAACGTAAACCCAGAGTTCCTCCCTTTTCGATCAGTTTGAAAGTGAAGAAACTTCCAGCTCTAAGTCCATTAGCATTACAGAAATTTCTCCACCCTCGTCTGATGTAAGTAGTTGCACATGATTTCTTTCGTTTCAAAGCTACAGTCCATGATCTGCCCTTTTCGTTGATCAGAATCATCTCGCCACATCTTTTGTCTAGACCATTTGCCCTCACAAAACACATTGGAAGATTCTGGAAATTCATTACAGTAAAACATGATTTTGATCGTAATCAGACCCTAGTATAAGAGTTTCTTCTGATTTAAAATTGTAGAATACCAGTGAGTCATAACGTAGATTCGAAGGAGTGACATTAGCCACGAAACAAGAGAGATCTAGTGAAGACTCTGCTTTTTTATTCTTCCTTTGAATCTTCCCTGAAAAAGTAGATACTAAATCCAACTCGTATTATTAAACAGATTCTCTCTACTCAAAGATTCATATTCATCTATATCAGCTAGAGAGACGAAATAACAAAACTCACCGCGGTTGTTCTGGTTGTCTAAACAAGACACATATTGAATCTCACAACAACTAGGTCCCAACATTGTAACGTGGAAAGTCATGTCTCTCTCTTGTCTGAAAACAATGATGTCACCGATTCGAAGATCATGTGCGAGAGCAAACTCTCTCCAACCGTTTGTAAGTCTCTGGCCATCTATTTTCACTTTCCAGGTTTTGTTCGATGCGTCTGATCTTAACTCCGCCGTCTTCTGCTCATTTCTTCCTTCTATATTCTTAAAGAAAAAAGCCACAGGAATCGTCTGAAAAAACAAAAGCAGACCCATTATTCTCAATGAGCTTTCCAGAGGGACAGAGACAGATATAGAAGAAGGGAAAGAGAGAGAGAGAAAGAGTACCAAGTGGCTGTGAAAGCCAGGAAGAAGTGGCTTGAAGAAATGTTGATTTGCCATTCTCAAAGCTCCTAAATCTCTCAGCCTTTCAATCTCAAGGAGGAAAGAGTGTAGTAAACACAACGTTTCAAGGTGAAGACCTTTTATTTTGAAGTAGAGACTGTTTGGTTTCCACTGGCAAACACTCCTTGGAACTCGAGAGCTTTAAAAAAAGAAAACCATCGATTAATGATTACTAGTGTAAGTGTATTCATTATGCACTTTATATGCTTTTATATTAACAATCTGTACCCATTATGGTAACTTCTTAACCATCATAAATCTCTCCAAGCGAAGGACAAGTAGAAGTGAATACCTAAAACATGTTCCCTCAGTCGAAACAGAGCCTAAAAAGAATCTCCCTACACTACGTTAGCCTAACGGTATGCATCATATATGTTGGATAGAATTCTATAAACTTTTGACATCTTTATGGTTGGTCTACTAATGATGATGATTCACTGTACCTATATGGGAAGTGTTTTTTATGGGACTCTTGGTCACTAATATAGTGGGCCTAAAGAAGAGTCAATGGAGCATCAGCAACATATGTTTACTAGTTAGAACTGATCATTGATATGCATCACAGAAATATACCAAAAAATTGAGTACATATTACAAGGAGAAACAAACATGACTGACCAAATTTGGCAACTTATAAACTAAATGTTTTTCTCTGCAAACACCTATTGCTCATCTTCCTTATATTCCTCAACTTGTATGGGCATCTTATTACCATTTTCCGGCAAGTCCGATGACTTTCACTCCTTGGTGCAATGTGCATCTGTGCCATGCTGGCTACACTTGCTATATCCAACACTTTTCAGAAAATCACGTATCTCTTTGGAGCTACTATTACTTGCCTTGAGTAATCTCTCATCTTCCTCATAGATTAGATAAGGAGCTTCTGCCGGTTTCCTTGAAAGTAACTTCTTTGCACCCTTTAAAACGTGGTATTCCCAACCTTGAACGTCGATCTTGATAAGAAGAACAGGTTGAGAAGGTGGGATTAGTTTGTCAAGAGGTATGGATTTCACTTGGACTGCTATTTCTTTGTTTGACTTGAATGCAAGTCTTGCTCCCACCTCCGAAACCGCGCTATTGTCAAGCCGTCCAACCAACTGTATCAACAACAATGGAATCCACATTTAGCAAGACCCAATAAACAAGATGGGTGGTGGAACGGTAAAACCAAGCTAAAGATTCAAGTTTCAGCTAAGCAGATTAGGCCTATACATAAAAGTTACACCTTTGTATAGTTGTTCGACAATTATCAAATACGAAAATCATTCCACATTACGACTTTTCGCCGGCTGTATCAACATAATCTGTTTCTCAATAGCAGCAATAAGAAGCAAGAGAATCCTGGATTCTATACAAATCATTCTATAAACAGAAACCACAAAGCTCTGTTCTCACAAAACTATACAAATGTGATACCTTATGAAATGTAATGTCCCCTGTTCTGTCAGAAACAGCAGCTTGAAACACAGTAACCAAAGCAGCAACTCTATTGAACCAAATCCCATCACAAATCCTCTGTAAATTCTCAAAAACAGGCTCAAAGGCAAGAACTTTAAACCCCATAACCGCAGCAGCAAAGCTAGCCATACCAACATTAGCTCCAACATCAACAACAATCCCATTTTTACCACTAGCTCTCATACTCTCCAAAACCTCCTGAATCGTGGCGGAGATATCTGGTTTCCTAAAGGGCTTTCCTTTAAGCAGCCTGACAATGTTCTTGTGTGGTTTCTCCGGGAGATTACCGAGATCAGCGAGAGAGTAAACAAAAGGGTACTTGAGATTCTCGACGACGTTTGCGATTATTGGTTTTGATTGGGGACATTTGAAGCAATCAAAGGGAGGGATTGGAAATGGTGAATTGATTGAGAGATTGGTATTAGAGTATTGGAGAGAGGAGCTAGAGAAGAAGAAGAAGAGAGAAGAGAGGAAGATAATGGAGAGGACAAGAACTGAGATTAGTGTCTTTGGTGATAAAAGCTTCTGGTTCTTGTCTCTTTTCCAGGCGTTCGCCATGGAAATGGATCCAGATGTGATGTTCAGAGTCTGAGTTCAAATGGGTAGCTTATGAAATTGCAGATCTGAGGAAACAAGAAGGAGAGATCTTGGGTGGGAAAAGCTGGATTCGTATCGATTTGTTAAAGAAAAACAAAAACAAGATCCGAGGTTTTCAATTTCAGTGAAGACATGAGATTTACATAAGGAGATTTAAAACATCTTTTGTTGGTTTTGTAAGGAAAAATTATATTACAAAAATGCCATTAAAATTTAAGGGTGAATTTGCTATAAAACCGAAATACTATTAAGATTAAATTGGACAAATGTGATTATCCATTTTTTAACTTGCTCCCTAAGTTCTTTGCTTCCTAAGTGACTTGTTCACTAAGGAGCTTGTTCTCCGAGCAAATCTAATTCTACTAAATCAGCAGTCACTTTTTTAATAACTGACGCATTCTCTGATTGACACATCAGCTTACAACACTTTTTTACTCTTTCTTTCTAATGGAAAGATTTTGTTTAAAATTAAAGCAAAAAAACAATGTCATTAACGATCTCCACAAAATCTTTTTTTCTTCAGTTTTTTTTCTTTATTAGAGATTCTCTTTTGCAACTGTTCCCTTTTTTTTCTCCCACACATTCCACGATCTCTATTTCTTCTCTTCTTCGCCTAGAAGCTAATTATTTTCAAAATCTGGAAATTTTCTTTCTTTATTCTTCATCTACCTATGTGTTTTTATCAAAAAAATATTTTTGACGCATCCAAGTTTTGCTTTGATTACGTAGTGTTGTTCTTCTCTCTGATTACAAAGTATTTTTTGGGGAAGCAGATAAAAGGTTATTTGCTATTTTACTTTTTATCATTTTTTCCTTGCTTGATTTTCTCTGTAACTCAAACTTATTTCTCTATTTTTGCCAACAATCTTATTTTTCAGTTTCTCATTCCGAGAACTTTGGATTATACATGTGGAGGAAGATTAGTATCGCATGCTTATAGCTCACACATAAATAAGGTACTTTTTCCCGTGCAGAGCACGGGCTCCATACTAGTGTTAGTATAAATAAGTCGTCCACTTCATTGTAAATAATACACAAAAGTCAATAATAAAGTTCTCTTTGCTTTCAATACTCTCTCTCGTCTCCTTCCAATGGCGGAGCCAGAAAATCTACTCATCGGGATCAAAAAAAAAAATTAAACTAAAATAGCAGAAATTTAAATTAAAAAATAAAAAAGTCATCACAAATACAAATTTCAAAGATGCATTCGACGTTCACTCATATTTTGGAATCGTTTTATCACCGATTCGTTTGTAATAGTGTCAAGTACCTGTTTTTCGATAAAATAAATTAGACAATCACTTAAAAATACATCACCAATACAGTTATGCAAGGTCGTCTTCACGAAAGTCATTGCGGAGAAACATCTTTCGACGGTTGCAGTCGCAACAGGAAGAATCAAAGATAGCTTCAGAAGCCGATATACCAAAGGATGTGAAAGATGTTTTCTTGTCTCCACCATCACACGAGCAAGATCACCAAGACTCTTTAAATCTGTAAACCTTTCATCTTTTTGCACATTATCAAGATAGATGTCAAGATGATGATCAAGAGATTTACGCTCCATAAATTCAAAGTCGTCTGGATAAAACTCATCCAATCTCTTGAGAAACGACTTATCAAACTGATGAAATGAATCAATCGGACTCAAGGATGATGTGCAAACAAGTAGTTCAGAATTCACCTCATCAAAACGATCATTAAACTCTTGAAGTTGCATATCTAAGACAGTGTAGAAACAATCCACCTTATAGTGATGCATGTTGGTTATGCCGGTTCTTTTCCTTGGTCTTCTTGGATCAACAAATTCTTCCTCCATTATGAGCATTCCAATGTCATTTTGCTCACAAAAAGAACTAACTTCAGCCATAAAAGCATCCCATCCATTATCTCTAAGCTTTTGCAATTGACTTTTAGTAGATTCCACCAATGAAATAGCATTCAAGATATCATGGTCTTTCCTTTGTAAAGCCTTTGATAAGTTATCAGTGAGACCCAAAACAAGCAACATCAACTGTAGATAGAAAACAAAATCAAAGGTGTGAAAATACTTGAGAATACCATATGCTTGTTGTCTTTTGGTGGAGTCGGTGCCTTCATCCTGGATATACTCGAGAACTTTAACTACAGAAGAAAACAGCTCAACAAGTCGCAGTAAAGTCTTATAATGTGAACCCCAACGAGTATTTCCAGGTCTTTGAAGAAAAATTTCTTGATTCAACCCAGTTCCAGTCTTAATTTCACCATTGATAATCCCTTCTTCCACTATTTTCCTATAGTTTTCCCGGATCATATCTTTTCTCTTGCAAGAAGCTCCAACGACATTCAACAAAATAGAAATCATATCAAAAAATTCTCCAACTTCAAAATGTTTTTTTGCTACCGCCATGACAACTAACTGAAGTTGATGAGCAAAGCAATGAACATAATATGCAAAGCTACTTTCTTTCAATATCAATGATCTTAGTCCATTGAATTCTCCCTTCATGTTACTAGCTCCATCATATCCTTGTCCTCTCAATTTTTTCAAACTCAATCCATACTTCGCAAACAAAGAATCAATAGCATACTTCAGAAATAAAGAAGATGTCTCATTAACGTGAGTAACACCAACAAATCTTTCTTTCACTATCCCATACTTATCCACAAAGCGAAAAACCACTGCCATTTGCTCTTTGTCTGATACATCAACAGATTCATCTACCAGCAAACCGAAGACATCATTATCAATTTCTTCAATAATAGATTTAATTACTTCTTCTGCAAAGCAATGCACAATGTCCTTCTGAATTGGAGGAGATGTCATCTGATTATTCTTAGGAGCATTATTCAATACAACTTTTTTTACGGTCTCATTCTGACCAGCAGTATATTTCAAAAGCTCTAAGAAATTACTTCTGTTGGCTGAATCATCTGACTCATCATGACCACGAAATGGTAATCCTTGATGTAACAAATGTCTAGAAACATCAATAGACGCATTCAATCGGATTCGGTAATCATTCTTCATAACATCGCTTTGTTTATGAAGAGCATGTTTGATAGACTGACCTTGTCTCATCAGATACTCACATTTCCTTTTGGCATTATTGTGAAAACTAGTCACATCTGATCCCACATGTTGATCCAACCCCTTATTCCAACCACAAAAACCAGTTGATACAAAGCTATCACTCCCACCTTGATTTTGAGCTTGATGAATAAGTAACAACACAAACAAAAAGCTTTTTCTTTCTCCACACTATATTCCAACCAATCACCATATTTATCAAACCATTTTGGATTAAAACGTCATAGCACTCCTCCAATTGCTATTTGTTTAAAATTATGACCACGAGGTTGACAAGGTCCCCTACTCAAATACTTGCGTCGTACTTTATCTCTTTGATTAGGATGATAACTTAGAATACTTTTTCTCTTAGCTGGATCAGATGGCAAATCATCCAAATTAACATTTAATGGCGGAGTTTCTCTTGTCACAAAACGATCCTTTATTTGTTGTCGTTGCCTACAAAAAAAATCAGAATTAATATATGATTATTATATATACATAAGCTTTAATAAAAGAAAATGAAATCAAACAAATAAAATTTTCTAGTCTCTGTTAAATCTATGTGTTCTTCGGTGATCTCTAAAAATCAAATAATATTAATCCACTAACTCACGCATACAAAGCTGTTTTGAAATTGAATAATTTGCATTGTATTAATGAAGCTTGAACGTGAATAATTAGATAATCGTTTATGGTTCAATGCTCTTCACTGCATATTCTATAAGTTAGTCACTAATGTATGAAAACTTTTTTTTTATTAGCAAAAATCACCATATAAGGACAAACTAAGACAAAGCAAATTCATACTTGTTTGAGACGATTAACAGCATCAAAAATTAGTATTAAAATATCAAACACAAGCCGAATTTCGTTTTAAAAGTAGATTCAAATTAGTTAGTGAAATTTCATATACAAAAAATTATATAAAGTACCTGAAATTCTAATCTTCAAACTCTTAAGTTTTGGCTGACCTAATGATGCTGATAACGATCAGAATTCTGAAATTGGGAAAAAAACAAAGAAGAAGAAGTCAAACCGTTTTTAGACTATCGACGACACAAGTGTTAGATATTTAGGTTAATTTATGTTAATGGACAGTTCTGTTAATGGGCCTAATTATAATATATTTACTTAAAATAAATTTTATTGGGCTTAAAACTATGTATAAATAATTGTATCTTAAAATTTTACAAGGATCTATTGGCTAAAAAGAATCTTACGAATGTTGAATCATCAAACTCGTCCAAACTGGATCAGCTCCACTTTGAGAAGTGAATGTTGCTTCATCCAGCTATAATAATTGGCGAGGACGCGGACGCGGTCGTGGAGGAGGTTGTGGAAGAGGAAAAGGAAGGAGTCTCCCTCCCAATAATTCCAACGCCAAGAAAGCCAACAAAAATCTTCAAGTTAATGATGTTGGTCGCGACCTGTCGTATGTGAAAGTACTTGTTATAGATGTGGAATGAAAGGACATCGGTACCAGACCTGTCGTATACCAAAACATTGGTACCAGATCTGTCGTATACCAAAACATTTGGCCAATCTGTATCAAGCATCTCAAAAAGCAAAAGAAAGAGATGTTGAGACCAATCTCATCTCTAATGAAGCTAGACCTTCCTTCCATGGCCTTAATGATAAAACCCATCTTGATATCGCAGATTTTATTGTTAATCATGAAAACGGGAAATCAGGCTAATAAGATCGACATGACAAGATATAGTTGTACTAGTATTTATGTACTTTTTGGTTTTAAATGCACTTTTTCTTTGTTTTAATTTTTTTTTTTGAATAATTGTTTCCCTGTAACATACAATAAAGTTTTCTTTGTAAGTCTTTATGTTATTTTATTAATGCATATTTTAGAAATGCTTTATCTCAGAAAATGTTAAATTTTGAGATTGAGGATGGAGATATATGTCTGGCAGACAGTGCTATGACGCACACAATACTTAAAGATAAAAAAT